GCATTCAGGGAATTGGTGGTATCCTTGGAAATTCTACCTGTCTCTCTACTTTGAAGGAAACTGAAAGAGGAAAATGAGTAGCTGGAGAATTTGAAGTTGCCCCCATTGGAACAAATGGATGAAGTAAAATTGTTTGTTTTCATTTTTGCTGTTGGACCGAGCTTTGGTAGAAAGCTGTAGCCCCTGGAGGCCTGATAATCAGCTTGAGTGATTAACTCATGATTATGCAAAGATAATTTATCTAGCCTCTTTGTTTTCCTGCTTTCTTTTTTATTGCCTTGGGCAATTCATTTCTTATTACCAGCTTCACTGTAATGTAAGTCTTGGAATAAGCAAACCCAGAGACAGTGAGAGCAGCTCAGCTTATTTTTCCATTTTGCTTTCATTAACAATTTTAAAACAGAAAAGATAAGAACAGTTTATTTGCTTTATGATTATAAATACAGGAATTTTGCAAAAGTAATTCCTAAGTGCAGTTATTTCTGGAGCCATCTAGATTGAGCAAATTAAATCATACAATTCAAATACTTTATAAAGCTTTTATACCACCAAAATGCCTTCTCTTCTCACATTCACAACAAGATCCTTACAACAGTGCTTGGTATGTATCAAACATTTATTAAATATTTGTCAAATATATATAGTAAATATATACACATATATAGTACATATATACAAATATTGGGTGTTCTCCAGGACAAATCATGTGGTTATTTATTAGCTGGATTTTCTTTTTTCTTTTGTACCAATTTTTTTTTTGGGGGGGGGTCTGGTCGTGGGCCTGAACTCTGGGCCTGGGCGCTGTCCCTCAGCTCTTCTGCTCAAGGCTAGCAGTCTACCACTTGAGCCACAGCGCCAATTCCAGCTTTTTTCTTTTTACTTATGTGGTGCTGAGGAATCGAACTCAGGGCCTCGTGCATGCAAGGCAAGTGCTTTACAACTGAGCCACCTTCCCAGCCCCTATTGTACCAATTTTGAGGCTTGAACTCAGGGCATTGTCTCTGAGCTTTTTTACTCAAGGTTAGTGCTTTAAATGGCTTCACTTTGACTTTTTGGAAGTTAACTGGAGATAAGAGTCTCATAGACTTTCCTGCTTGGACTGGGTTGGAACCACGATCCTCAGATCTTAGCCTCCTAAATAGCTAGAATTATAGATATGAGCCACTGGTGCCCAGCTCATCAGTTTTAAAATGATAACAACTGGGATTTGCTTTTCATTTGTCGCTGTGGACTTTAGGCGTACTAAGTTCACCCATTTTTCTACCATAAGTGTTAACTAAGAGAGAAAACTGATAATAACAATATGTGCTATAAGTTTGAGTCAAAGTTGTGACATACCTTAGGGAGAATTTGGAGAATTTTTTTTTTTTAACTTCTGTGGCTGGCTGATAATGTTAGGTACGATTCACCCCACTGTACTCCTTAGAGCAGACCTGACTCCTGTGTTTACCCTTGGCACCTCCTACCTGAATGCCAAAGGAAGTAGTAGTGGTGATCCACTTTCTAGCCCTGCCTTGTACCTTTTCCTAGAAGGTGTGGATTAGAAAGAACTTATTTGTGACTTACATTTATTCATTTGAAGAAAGTAACTCATAGAATTTTAGTTCCTTCAATAAATGTTCATGGGTCATGTATTATGGGTCAGGTATCACATAAAGTTCTGGAAGTAGGGAATGCCCAAAAGAAGGCATCATTATTTCCCTGCAGAGAACCATGGTAACCAGTGAGTCCAGTGAATAAGATGAGTAATCTATCATGATAAGTAATCTTATCATGGGAAGAGTATGTTTGGGAGAAGGGGGGTGGAAAGACATTTCCCTCCTCTGTTGCAAGCAGTGCTTTTTCTCTGACACAACTGTCTCCTTGCTTATTTGCTCATCATCTGTCCTCCTCCACCAAGCTCCCAACAGAACATAAACTAAGAGTCCAGGTTAGTGGTGACTGGCTTTGCCTACTTTGGTATTCCTACCTAGGTGTAACTCCACTGCACGGAGTGCACAGTAACTGTGTTGGAGTAGGGAAGTGGTCAGGAGAGGCCTCACTGATGCCTCTGTGGGCATATGGTGAGAGAGAGGATGTCTTGTGGAACAGGAGGGAGTTCCAAGCAGAATGGCCAGTGTGGTGGAGGCAGAATGAGCCAGTGAGCGAGTAGTGGTGGATTCAACAATGAACTCAGACAGGAATGGACCAGCGTGTGCAGGCGTTGGAGGCCTTTAGAAGGGCAGGGTTAGCTGCAGAGTGAGCTGCTGGAGGGCTGGACTGACTGAGATGAAGGGGACCTTGAAGGGTCCAGTGCTGTGGTGGGAGGTAAAATTTGGTTGGAATGACTTTGAGAAAAAAGGAATTATAGACAGCAAATAGGAGTAACCTATTGAGGGGTTTTGCTACCTAAGTTAGTGGAGATGGGGATGTATCCAGAAAGGATGTTTGTTACGGGCTGGTTTCCTAATTTTTCTTTCTTTCTTTCTAATCTGCAGGCTGGAGTGAGGCAGCTTTATGTACAGATTGACTTTGCGGCCATGTAGCGAATGAAGAGAAATTACTTTCTGGACCAAATTTTTCTGGTACTGTACAATCCAAAACATTGTACCCAGCTCTTTAAACTAGAGAAATCATCGCCACAACTCCCAGCTCCTGGCAGACCAGGTAGCCAGCCACGTGTGCTCTGCAGGGAGCACGGCAGAGGTCGCTGCTGAGACAGGGTCGCTGCATGGGTCTTGCTTTGTGCTCTCCCCACCAAGCCATTCTGATTGCTGAGGTTTCTGGTTTTGTTCTAGGGTGTTGGTTTGTCCTATATATACTTCTTTTCTTCTTTATTTGGCAATGGCGGTGGAGGTTCACATTAGATGCCTTCACTCTGTCCCCTCACCCCACCCAGCCAGTGAGAAATTCAGATTGTGAGTCTGCAGCCATCTGAACTATCTTCACAGAAGCTGCTGGAAACCACTGCTTTTATCCTCTCAAAACCAGTGTTACTTTAAAAAAAAAAAGAAAAAAAAAAAGAAAAGCTGTTTTATACATAATGTCACAGTTGTTGACGATCTTCAGTATAATCATATGTTTGTAAAACTGTTTGTACCTTGCAAACTTATGAACCAAACCATATTGGGTTTTCAAAGTGCCTTTGTATTAGCAAATGTATTTGCCAACATAGAAGTGTACCATCAAGTTCATGTGTATTCTGTAATCTGTATAAAATAAGACTCTTGCAAGTAAAGTATACAGATTGTTGTGTACTTCCAGCCTAAGATAGATATTGAAGTTTCTTTTTATTGTTTTATCTCATCAAAAAAGTGTTCGATTTTTAAAAAATCAATAATCATATTAAATTACTTTGTGAACTGGACTGTGTTTTCAGACCTTTACAGATGGCTCTATTACAGAGAAAATTGTTTTGACCTGCAACATCTACTTGATTCCAAATTTCTATAAAGGCTTGGTAATAACAACTTCCAACAGCTCTCCTTGCTATTTTTATGGACTATTAATGGCTGGGAAAGGCAGTGTGGACTGAAGCAGTGACGGAGGCGGCAGCCGTGTTCTGAGTTCCTGTTGTTTATTCAGATGCCAAGAGGCACAGGGTGCAAGCTGTCATTGCTGCTGTTCTCCAGAGCCGACGGCAGCATCTGACTACATTTGCACAGGTAGAGGTATGAAGCAAATGTGGTGATCTAACACAGGTATCTTAGGGGGAAAAAAAAGATTAGTTGCTTCTCTAGGTTCTTCTCTGTTTGAAAAGTAAAACATCAATTTGAGACGACAAGTGTTTACACACTCAAATATTCTGTTTTATGAAGCAATACTGGACATTCTCCTGTTATACTAAATTTTATCATAATATACATTCCCTTTATCTAAAAATGTTGATATTGGTGAGGGTGATATTGCAGGGTGAAATGGAAAATGATTGCTCACTGCTAAGAATGTAGATCAATAATAAGCACTTTTTTAGCATGGTGGTAGGAATTATTATTGAATTTCTTCTAGGTTTTAGAGCCTCTCTCTCTCTACTTGTAGCCTACTTTGTGGCTTGTTCTATATTTTGATAAATACTCCACTTCCTTCATGCTTTTCTAAACTGCAAATGGAGTGGGATTTCCTACCATGTTTGCTCCCTGCCAGGCAGTTCTAAAGCTAAGAATTCCTGTCATCGGTGGTTTAATTGAAACAACAGTTAAGGTTTTTAGGAGGGAAAGTATAAAGCAAATGCCCAGATACTAGTCTTTCTATTTTCATTACAAAGTAAGACCTTGGAGATCTTCTGTGGGTTTTGGTATATTAGAGGAAATGACAGCTCTGGATGTAGGCAGCGATTTTGGATGTGTGCCTACACAAACTAATTATGTGAAACTGTTCTGACATTTCACATATGGAGATAGTTGCACTAGTTTACAAAATTTGCCCTTGGGTTTTGAAAATCCAAATGTGCTTTTCACTGATCCCCCTTCTTGTACCATTTTATCTAACTATCCGTAGAGCACAAATCCATGGATGACTTTTCCCTTTGGTAAGGCACAGAGTATGCAGAGCGAGCTTGGTGGTACACACAGGAGATTGCCAGCTAGAACACTGGCAGGGTGGCATTAGCATTTATGGTTTAATTAGATGTCTGTACACCCATGTACACACCAGGAGAAAAAAAAACTAATGTGAACAGAACTGCTTTTTCAAAGGAAATGCTTCCTTATCAGTGTTGTGGCACAGATACTACTAAAGTAGGTAGTATGTTCACTGAGAAATACCACTTGATTATGGCTATAAAGTAACTTTAGAATGCCCTTAAGATTGGGTTGACTTGTACAAAACTGAACCAAAAATTTGCCACTAATTGAAAGACCAAAGTTTTCTCCAGGGGAAAAAATTGTATTCCTCAGAAACACACCTATACTAGTTATTTTTAAAATTCCTTTTTTTTTTTGCTCAAGATGAAGAGTTTAGCATTGGCAGTCTTGCTCACTTTGCTAGCAACTTCCCAGACCCACTGTGGAGAGCAGTAGCCCCTTCTTCTCTAGGTTATTCCCCCTGTAGTGCGGGCAGGAGGTGGTACCAGATGTCATCTGACAGCGTCTGGAATGTCTTGCCGTTCTTCAAAGCCTAAATATGCATACTGTAACCAAAATACTGTGACTTTTGTGCACTTCTGAAAAGCAGCCCGAGTAGTGATCAGGGAATTCTGTGTTTGCACCTATGGACGAAGCAGTTTTGACCAAGATTAACACTGATGTGTAAGTCTGGGCTTTAAGAATATCTTTATTACATGAATGAAATTTGACATCTAAGCATGGACTGTAGCTTAGAAGCAAGTAGTCAAGCTCTACCTCTCATTTTACAAAAGATGAGAAAAATGAAGCTCAGAGAAGTTGTGCTGGCAGACAGTGGCAAAGCCAACACTAAAATTCAGATCTGACTCCAAGTGGAGAGTTGGTTAGACCCTACTGTGCTGTTTTTCCAGTGTAATATTTGCCTTTCTGTAAATGTGATTGACTGTTGTTTGTTTGTAAATAAAGGTCATATGACCTCCATCTTTGGTACATTAAGGCACTTTATTAATGGAATTTTGTCTCATTTTTCATATCTAATTATGATTTTTTTATTTCCAGTGTCCTTTGTGGAAGAGGTTACAATAAATATTTTTTTACTCATAGGAAACAAATTCCTGACTTGATGACACTAGTACAATGGCTACTTTTGTTGTTGTTTTAGCTGATGCTACCTAGGATTTGAACTCAGGGCCTCCCATTTGCTTAACTCGTTCAACTGGTGCTCTTCCACTTCCACCATGCTTCCAACTCAACTTTTTGCTGGTCATTTTGGAGATGAGTCTCATAAACCCACCTGCATCTGTGGCCTTGTCTTCCAGCTTTTAGCCTCCTGAATAGGGTTCCAGGTGTGTGCCTGCTGGTGCTTGGGTTTACAATGGATCTTTTACTATTTCAAGCAGAACTTCAGCCCACTTTAAGGATTGCTTAGATTCTATAGTGTGATAAAATTAAGCTTTGTTCTTGTTGCTGCTACAAAATTTACCATTGTTGAAACAAATTACTTTCCAAGATGCAAAAAAAACTTAGAAAATGGCAACTATTCTTTGAAGAACATTTATTAAAAGTCTTATTAGAGGAAGATTGTTTCAAGACGTCCCTCAGAAGCCCTAGGAAAGAACCACCAGAGAAGTACAGTTCTATTCAAAGGCCAGATGGCTGGGGGCCCTTTGGATGAGGTGAGCTTTGCCTTAAGTTAAGCACTTCCTTGCTGAGGGCGTGGCTTCAGAGGTTGAAGGCTAACCTAAGCATTTCCTGACATTTTATACAAAAGGAACTTTGCATGATTTCATGATTTAAACTCATCTGACAACATTTCCAAATGTATTTTCGAGTTCTCATACACCTGAGCAAGGAATCCTTACCCCATTCCATGAGACTCTACCGTCCTTTTCTTGGGGAGAGCCAGCAGTACAGTACCAAATCCAAACTCGGTACTTGGTTAATGATGATTCTGTTTTATGGATGCCATTCAATAATGTTTTCAAGGTCCAAGAAGTTGTAGCACATCTAGACATTCCTAGAAAATCAGTACAGTAGGGAGGTGTTGTTTCAAGTGGTCGAGTGCCAGTCTAGCAAGCTTGAGGCCCTGAGCCCAAACCTGCATACCACAGGAGGAGAAAAATGGTGAAAGTTAATTTCACTGACACATTTGTCTTGGAGGAGCAGTTTGTAAATTACTTTAACAGATTTCTCCTTTCTACATACTTATGTGATCTAAAATTACAGGCTGAAAAGAATGAATAAGCACTTTTAAGACAATTTTAAAAAGCAGAACTACAGAGGAAGCCCTGTAAGTGCCCTCTGTAAACTCATCTACCAAGAAGTACTAGTTCTCTGTTGTAGGAGCAAGATAAGTATGACTTAATTTAGAACATTACATCCCATACATAACTTTTTGAAATGAAGAAATAGATTTCATGAATGTGTCAACACAGTTTTGAAAATCCAGTGGTTTTTTTTTATCATATTGGAAAACTTGTAGATAAGATTTCTTGCTTTGTCTTGTCCATCTTTTTATCTCAGTTTATCATGAATTTACACTTTGACAATCTCTAAATGTTCAGTCAAATAGTAACTGTGGTTGTTAGTGATAAGCAAGGATCAAGGAGAGGCTAAACCAGTAATTATTACAAAAATATCTTAGCCTTTCTTTGGCGTTTTACAGAATAAACTTTGTCCGTTTTCTTTAAAGTAGTCATGTGCGCTGCACATTCTTTTGAACATACAGTGGATGGATATGGATGCTTTCATTTGTATATTATTGAAAAATAATTTGGCAGAACTGAGACTACCATGTGGGTCACTTGAATTTTTAGAATTGTGTTGAGCTAAATCAGTAACTGCAGTCTCTTGATTTTAGAGGAAGTTGTCATATTTGTATTAAGAGCCAGTGTTTGTCTTCATTTTATATCCAGATGTATCATCATCCAAAACTCTTTGCAGGGAGTATTCCTTACAGGTGCTTCTATGAAACCCAATGCCTTCACCAGTTTCAATTTTCCTGAAAAATTTTACCATTTTTATTTTGTTCTCTTGTGAATTCCTGAATTTTAGTAGAACACTCCACGATTTCTTTACATTTTCCTTTGTGTTGTTGCTTCCACTTGGTGTTGTTGCTTTGACTTCCAGTTAGGAAAAAAAAAAGCTGTAGTTTATATTTTGGCAATTGAGTTTTATTTGTTTCGCATACTGTGCATTCCCCACAGTGAATATATTTTGAACTAAATGTCCAGTCTGTCAGGTAATTCCATTGCTTTCTCAAGAAGCTGACAGTGATACTTCTTCCACGTGATACTTTACCCTAACTTTTCTCCGTTTAACAGACTGTTTGAAATTGGAAATACTGTGAATGGGAAATTGCCAAATCGCTTCCTAGTATATTATAAAAACCCAACAACATTTCACCTCTCTGCTTTTTAAACAGACGGCCAAGTCTGGGATTGGGTGAAGATTATTGCGTCAAAACAGTTGTACAAGCATTTAGGTAGAAGGCTAGGTGTCACATTTCAGGCTGTTACAGTATGGTGTGAAGATGCTCACTACCTCGAGCATTATGATTGGCCCAAGTGCAATACCATAGATTCATAATGTGTATTTCTCTTTTCTACTTGCACATTTACATTTTGTTTACCCTCCAATGTATTTTAAAAGAATCATGAACAACTGTATCAAAATTCCTTTCAATAAAATTTGTTTAAACCTTTACCTCAATTGTATCAAAATTCCTTTCAAAAACTTTGTTTAAACCTTTACCTCAATTTTGTATTACAAGTTGGGTGAACTGGGAAAGAGCACTGTTGCACCT